GTTTGAATTTAATTTTAATAAAACCCTTAATATTCTGTCCATTTTAGTTAAATATCTAATAAGTTTTATCTTCAAGAGCATGGGCTTATACAAATGTATTTATGATGAAATACCAATTTCATTTTGATAAGACATTTGTTAATAAAACTAGTTTCCCCGAGCTTTCTGTTCCGAAAAAGAATCTATAAAATCATCAAAGTTTACATATATGGCCATAGAATTTCCAATAGACAGAATAGCCAAACTACGTAGCCTGTCGTGTCCCATAGAGTTTTTCAAATAGGGTTTTATTAATTCTAGCTTCGAAAATGATCGTTCAGCACTAGCTAGCTGTAGGTAAATAAATTGGAACCAATAAAATTAATTCAGTACATACTTCAGGAAAGCAGGACGACATAAATTTTGCATCTCCTGTATATTTATTTATTTTTTTAAATATTTCATTTTTAAATATAGTTCCATCTATAACAGAAATAAGAATTTCAAAAATTGCATAAAGTTGGCAAACCTTAATCAAACCTCGAATCATCAAAATTTCAAAATTTTATTCAGAATGGTTAGAAAACTTTCGAGTATGCACTTTTGTAGCTCATTCAGTTTTAGTATAATAAAGTGCAAGTTTTAAGTCACCAAAAATTACCGCCGATTTTGTGGATTTTTTTGTCGATCGTGTTCAGCATTTCCTTCCATGCGGAAGAAAATGTGCAACACCCTCGAAAAAAATATGTAATAAAAACTTTGAAATTTTGAGGAGAGTTTTCTAAAGGTTGATTCATTTTTGTGAACTTGGTGAAATTTTTAAAATTTTCATTTCTCTGGCTTTTGTTATGGATCGAACTAAGTGAAATTATTAAAAATAAATAAATAAACAGGAGTTGCAAACAATACCATTTCGAATTTTACTGCTATTATTTTGACCGCTGCTGTATGTACATATATGGCCCTTAGTTGATTCACTTTAATTGATTTTAAGTACTTGAAAAAACTTTAACTTTAAGTGCTTAGTTTTGTGAAAAATGTAAGGTTATTTTCGAGCTCGTGGTCGGGCCTGTGGTATTTTGCCAGTCATACCGCCCTATAGTTACGCCTCTGAAGTCGTGTGACTTATCGCTCCTTAGTTACAGCTGATTAAATTTTTACGCCCGTGGGATATTCCACGCGCCCTTTTACAAACTTATATATGGATACTTTACTTTGGCCATCTTTCATAGGCCTGTCCTGATACCAAATTTCAAAATCATGTACCTTACGGTTCCGTGATTAAAAATATCACCTCTATGGGATGTGCCCACAAACTCACTCATATATACAGTATCAGTCATATGTATACCACACCATTTCAAAGTGATATTGTGTGCCCCTTATGTTAATTTATTTATTTTTAAGGATTTTCAATTAAAATATAGTTCATTCTCAGACAAACCCCATATAAACCCAAGTTAAACAATTTGTAGGAAACTACGAAAAAATGCAATAAATTTCACCTAGATTTCAAACTTTTTTCTCGGAAATGTTAGAATTTTTTTGAGTACACAGTTTTTTAGCCCCTTCAGTTTCAGTCTGATAATGTGGAAGTTTCAAGTGGCTAAAAGTTACCGTTGATTTTTTCTTTTCTCGAAAAGTTTCGAGCAAGTCGAAAGTTTGGATATAGGTCTGTAGTTTCTAGCATCATTTTTGTTACCAGATTTAGAGATTGGGGAGATAGAGGCAATTTTCCAACGATTAATAAAAACAGCCGAGGCCAAGGAAAGATTAAAAATATATTTTAGGGGTACGCAAAATAACGAACTGAAAATTTCATGAATATGAAAAATTTACCTGGTTTTGCTAATTTTACGTTAAAATAAGAAGAACCACGTTTTTCTCCGATGACTAGCAAAAAGCCAATTCACAATTTTCTTTATTTCGTCTTCTTAGTTTAGGGTTGCATTTTATCTTACATTCTAAAATATTCAGGGTTGCTAATTTCCATAAGTGATAATTATAACTTGAGTTGCCACATAGTGTAGAATCGCTACAGGGCTGCCCCACTAGATATGACCTTATCCTCGACGGTAATTTGGCTACGGTTTGCGTTCCTTCTTCCAAAAAAGCGGGCTTGAAGCGGTCAATGGAAAAGATGATAGTTTTTTGTTTCCTGAGAAGCTAGACAAATTTCTCGTTTCGTTTCAGCACTTGGAATGGTTCTTCGTATGGTTCTTCAAGTGCTATACGCACGCGGTCTTCTCGAACAAACACGAATTCGCTGTTTTTAAGCTCAGGTTGGACGAATGTTATCTGAGCTCCATGGCGAGTCGCTTTTCTTCGCTGAGCAGCAGCAAAGTGCCGCCGTAATTGCTTGATGAATTCTCTTTCGTTCAACTTACTTTCGCTCGGACATAAAAATTCGCCTGGAACCCGTAACTGCGACTATCAGAGGGACTTGCTCGAAGATCTTGTTTGATGGCATTTCGCAAGCCCAGTAGGACAAGTGTGAGAACTGAGCACCAATCCTTCGTTTTGTGGTACTTTATAGCGGCCTTAAGCGTTCTATGCCATCGCTCTATCATACCATTGGTTTGGGGATGGTAAGCCGTTATTAAAGGTGTCGTATCCTCATGATAAGCATGAGTTCGCCGAAAACTGTCGACTTGAACTGCCGAGCTAAGTCGGTTGAGATCTGTACGGGTACGCCGAAATATGCAATCCATTCCTCAATTAAGGCACGTGCAATCGTTTCTGCGGGCATATCCGGGATGGGTATCGGGGCTGGCCACCGTGAAAATCCGTCTAAACAGGTAAGACAGTATCGGTTATTATTCCATGTCGGCAGCGGTCCTATGATATCCAAGAGGATATGTTCAAATCGGCTAGAAGCTTTGTTGTAATCACCAAGATGAGCTTCGCCTTTGTTTTTCTGGCATTGAATACAGTGTCGCACAAACTTCGCGATCTCCTTCGCCATACCTGGCCACACGTAACGTTCCGTACTAGTTTTTGCGAAGCTTTACGTCCTGAATTTGCGAGGCTGTGTAATTTTGCGATTACCTGTTGAAGTAGGCTGCTTGGTATAATCGGCCGTAACCTGGCTCTTTGTGCGTCGCAGATCAAGACTGCGAAGTTGTTGGGTATAGTAATTTTCTTCAGCTGTAGTGATGAATTTGATGAAGTGAGATATTCCTTAAGTTCCTCGTCTGATCAGTGTGCCTTCGCGATGACATCGAAGTTTAGCGCGTCCATCGTCTGAACTCGCGATAATAAGTCGGCAACGTCATTCTCTTTACCAGGCAAATGCCTTATGTCGGTAGAAAATTGGGAAATAAAATCTAGCTGGCGGGCTCTCCGAGGAGGTGCATCGTTTACGTTTTGTGAAAAGGCGTAAATTAAGGGTTTATGGTCAGTGTAAATTACGATTTGCCTACCTTCTAGTATGTGGCGAAAATGCTGAATGGCCTGGTAGACCGCAACCAACTCCCGATAATACGTTGAATATTTTGTTTGCGCTGACGTTAGCAGCTTTGAGTAGAATCTGAGCGGCTGGTGTACATCACGGACGATTTGATGAACTACAGCATCCACTGCGTTGTTCGATGCATCGGTCGTTAGAGTCAGTTCCGCAATCGGGAACATGTGACTCAGGAGAGTAGCTTTGCCAGTTCATCCTTACAAGCCGTAATTTCTTCGTTGGCTTCCTCGTTCCATTTTATGATGGTTTTGTCGTGCTTGATATTGCTCACAGCGTTGGGCAAAAGTTGGGGATAAAAATTTATCATTCCAAGAAAACGTTTCAGATTTTTGGCCACAGTTTGGTTTCGGAAACTTGCGAATCGCCTCCACCTTTACATCCACGGGTCTGAGCCCTTCCGCGCTGATGGCGTGGCCGAGGAAGTCAACTTGAGTTCTGCCAAATTGGCATTTGCTGGCATTAATCGCCAAAGGAGTCTTCTTTAAACGTTCGAAAAATTCTCGTAAATGTTTTCCGTGTTCGACTGGATTCGCAGAAGCCACGAGGATATCGTCTATATATGCAAACGCGAAATCGATTCCTTGCACTCTCCTGAGTCACATGTCCCCGATTGCGGAAATGACTTTAACGACCTATGCATCGAACAACGCAGTGGGTGCTGTAGTTCATCAAATCGTCCGTGTTGTACACCAGCCGCTCAGATTCTACTCAAAGCGGCGAACGTCAGCGCAAACAAAATATTCAACGTATGATCGGGAGTTGGTTGCGGTCTACCAGGCCGTTCAGAATTTTCGCCACATACTAGAAGGTAGGCAATTCGTAATTTACACTGACCATAAACCCTTAATTTACGCCTTTTCACAAACCGTAAACGATGCACCTCCTCGGAGAGCCAGCCAGCTAGATTTTATTTCCCAATTTCCTGGTAAAGAAAACGAAGTTGCCGACTTATCATCGCGAGTTTAGACGATGGATGCGCTAGACTTCGATGTCATCGCGAAGGCACAGTGCTCAGACGAGGAATTGACGGAATATCTCACTTCATCAAACTCATCACTACAGCTGAAGAAAATTACTATACCCAACAGCTCCGCAGTCTTGATCTGCGACGCACAAAGAGCCAGGTTACGGCCGATTATACCAAGCAGCCTACGTCAACAGGTAATCGGAAAATTACACAGCCTCGCACATCCTGGACGTCCGAGGACGATCCGAGAGGGCCCCGGTCCAAGAGACCACGAGCTCAGAATAACCTTACATTTTTAAAAAAACTAAGTACTTAAAGTTATAGTTTTTTTTCAAGTACTTAAAATCAATTAAAGTGAATAAACTAAAGGCCATATATGTATGCAGCGGTCAAAATAATAGCAGTAGAATTCGAAATGATATTGTTTGCAACTCCTGTTTATTTACTTATTTTTAATAACTATATTCAA